TCAGGCTGCAGCCTCATCACTCTGAGTGCTCTGTAAGAAAAACATTGGTCCGATGAGACCTCGCTTAATTTTCTTGATTAAAGGTATCTATTTGAAAAATTAGGCAAAACTAAAACTTTTAACCATAAACCTAATCTTTTTCTATCAGCAAACTCAAACACAATTATCCTGATGCATGTTCAATAATCCCGGTAGAAAAATCTAACAAAGTTAAGTCAGATCCGCTGGACAGATAAAAAACAAATAAATAAAAAATTGTTGAAACGTTTCGTTTTTTTATCCAAAAGACTGTCAGTCTGAGGAGCTGCAATGAACTCAGTCTTATAAATAGCACCTTCTCATAGTGGTTGATCCACTATGGGCAATCCACACAGCTTGGAATGCAGGTCTTGGGCTGCAGAGCAGTCCCAGAAATGCAAATTCTGCACCTGAATAGGCAGGAAGCTGAAAATTAAATGTAAACACTGGACAAAACAAGCATGCCAGATAATGATTTATTCAGTTCAGAATGCACAGTAAATTTAGAATCAACACACACGTGTTTCAGAACCATTAACTATGACCTTTAAACTGGAATGTGAATGAACACACAGAAACACAAGATTTGAGGGGGGCTTCAAGACCTGTAGTGTGAACACAGCCTTAGTTGTGTCTAATTTCCAATCAGTAACTGGGACAGGATTTTCCAAAATGTAAAAAGAAAAAAAAAACATTTAATCCATTTTCCAACCTCTTCTTGTTCTGTTCAGGATCACAGGTGGCTGGAGCGAGGCTTTCAAGTCCAAAAAGCTGGTCGAACGATCTCTGGAAACGTTATAATTTACCCATGATGATTGTGGCAAACCAACATGAAAATACACAATCCCATGGCAACGCTGTGCTCGTTGAATTATCTGTAGTTTCCATGCCAGGTCACTAGTTGGTGCTGTGATTTATGTATTTTAACGAGACTCACACGAACGTCAACACTTCAGTCTCAAGTACGAAACCAGTTACGTTCAACATGGACGAATACGCAAACCTTTGTTTGATCCGAGGACGAGGTCGTGCTGAAGATGGTGAGCAGCACAAACAGCACTCTCCTAGCCATCATTGTTGCTCGTCAGTAAAACTGTTGACTGCAGCCGTGTGCAGCGTGCACGTGTGATTTCACACCAATGCTGGGGTTTACAAAAACTTCTGCTCTGAGACCTGGATTCAAAAAGTACACAAACAGCCAGAATTAAGCCGAAATGCTGCAGTTTGACTGTCTCAGAGGAGTTGACGAGGGAGAGGGCGGGCTCCAGAGGAGAAGGCAGGTCCCAGAGGAGAGGGCGGGCCCCAGAGGAGAGGGCAGGTCCCAGAGGAGAGGGCGGGCCCCAGAGGAGAGGGCGGGTCCCAGAGGAGAGGGCGGGTCCCAGAGGAGAGGGCGGGCCCCAGAGGAGAAGGCGGGTCCCATAGGAGAGGGCGGGCCCCAGATGCCATCTTCATAGTTGCCTAAGTCTGCTTATTATAAGTGACTTTGGGCTTGTTCTTTTCTAAAGCCGCTTGTAAATCTTGTGAGTTGTGGGTCTTGTTTTGAACGTGAAGTTGCTTATTTGGGTTTTGACTTTCTTTCCGAGTGAAACTAGTTGATTATCTCCCAGCTCTGCACAATAAAGCAAAAGACGAGTGGTAGTAGGTAGTTTGTCCCTTCCACGCCCCCGTTTCCTGTTTATCGCTCCCGCCTAAGTTGGCGAGGCGACAGACGCACACATAGACATACATAGACATACATAGACATATACAAATCAGTGTTTCCCCTAGTTAACTTGCCATGGTGGGGGGCTCATCTCATCCATGATTTTCGTTGACGGGGGAGACGGAGACATGTCTAAGCGCAGCTTGTACCAACAGTTTATGGGGGGGGGGACGTTCAGCATGAGGGAAGAGGCTAGAGCACCTGTATTGCGCGTTGCTAGCTTAGCGTGACACGTTTGAGTTGTGCACTGTTTATACGGACAGTTTTTGAGTGTGTGTGGGGGGCGGGGGGGAGGAGGTATTCAGCTTGAGAGAAGAGGTAACGTGAGCGGTGCTTTTAGCTTTTTAGCTAGAGAGCCTGTATTTTGTGCCGCTAACTTAGTGCTATGTCAGTGCCGGGTTGGGAGTAGGGGGGCAAGTTCGATTTGGCCGGCGGGGTGCTCAGTTCTGTTGACGGGGTGGGGCACCCCGCTTGTATAATGGTAGGGGAAACACTTCAAATACATCTGTGGGCGCACACCCCTAACACTTATACTGTGGCCGACCACTAGGGGGTTCCACTCATGTGCAGATGTCAGGATGTTTTGGTTTTAAAAATATGTAAAAAAAAAATTACATAAGCAAAAAGTTGTTTTTTTTAATCAGAGCTTAAATGTTATTCAAAGTGTTTATCATAATTTTGCTGTTGTTTATGTGTAATGCCAAAATAAATGTATGTTTATGCCGTTTAAAAACAGCCTGTTTTACACAATGTGCTGGGTTGCCAGTTAGGCTTGTTTTGAGCTTGTTTTCATAGGGCTGGTTGCTTGTTTCTAATGTGAGATCTGGCAACACTGGCCATCTTAGCACCAGCAAACTATTTTTTTTCCACTATAGAGTATGCTGTTTGTGGGAATCAGTTTTGTTTGGTGGCTTCTCGGATTGATGAAGTCCTTTGGATGAAGGACAAAACGTCTCAGCAATAAAAGAAATCGGCCAGATGACCTGACTGAACATTGTTTGATTTTATACCTGGATTATTGAGCATGAACTTTGGTGCTGCAGTTTGACTTAAAAAGAGTGTTGTGCAACGAAGGCTTGGCCTTTAACATCTTTATATTTTCCTTCCAAGCAGCCAGACACTTTCTAGGAATCTTTCACAGAAGATTGGACCAGTACAGTACCAGAGTACTGTACAGTACAACGTACAGTACCAGATACCAGTACAGTAATTCTCCAGATTTTCTGAAGGTCTTTCAAACTTTATTCTGAACTTTGGCTGATTTTCTCTTATTTCTAATCCAGTTCTTGTAATTGATCATTTATTTAGAAAATAGGCATTTTGACGAACCAGCGCTGAAACCAAAGTAACTGACAACTTTTCAAAAACAATACATCGTTCAGCCAGTAGCTCTTTGATGACATGTCAGTATTTTATACCTCACAGGTCAGATTATCTGTGGTGTTCATGGATGCAGCTAAAACAATTATTCTCATCCATTCTGCCTGCTAGTAACAACCGGCATTCATCTTTATATTTCATTTAACAATTGTGCTTTTTACTTCAAGTTAGTTTTAATTTTTTTTTACAAACAGGATGGATGGTTACAGTGGTTACAGAAAACATTGCAAGTGCAGGAAAATGAGCATTATCAGAGATCTTGATAAGGTGACCTACTTACTGACGTTCAAGAAGAACCGATGCTACAAAGGTATAACGTTGCTAATCACCTGAAACTATATGAAACATGATTATGTGATGTCTCGTGGAAATCCATTTACTCTCACGGTGCTTTATTACAAGTAAATTTATATCGGGAGCAAAATATAAATAAAAGAACATGTTAAAAAACTGGCAGAAAAGACACGGTTACACATCATTTTCTTCCTTTTATAAACGGTTATTTAAAGACAAAACAGTAAAAACAGGACAACTCACATTGTGTTTTTTTATGTATTTTTATTCAAAAACATATTTAGTCAACAACAGTCTGCTTTAAATATGTTTCCTACAAACAAGCAGGTGTAAAAACTCACCTCATTCTGTCCAGATCTGTGTTTTTCTGTGATCTAGATTTTGTGCTTCCATCTTTTTCAGTGTTTTCTCCTCATTTAGCTCAGCTCTGGCCCCTCCCACTCCCACCTGTCTTCCCCAGGTGTTCATCATTAGAGTCCCATTAAATCCTGTCATTTTGTCACTTCCTTGTCCGTGCATTGTGCTTCCTACAGCCCATCGTGCTCTGCTCCTTCATGTCTTCTCGGACTTGATTTTAAAGTTTGCTGTCACGTCAGCTTTTTGATTTTATTTTTGTTAATAAATCAGTTTCTTATTTTACCTTCAAGTTCTTTTGGGTTTCCGTCTGCACCCTGGGTTCAACCTTACTATGAAACATCCAGGTAATTAAAACTGTGGGAACATTTTTACCGACACATTATTAAGTTTAGAACCGAAACGGTTTCACTACTTTCTAATAAAAAAGTCCTGCGTTTATAAAATAAATACAAACATAACAGTCGGCTGCAGAAAATCAAACAATATGCTGTAGGTTCATTGTAATCAAAAGTCTTATGGGTTTGTCAGGAGCATAAATAAATTAACAGATTAGAAGAATCTGGAGACATCTTTGAGCTCCAAGGACGAGGCTGACAGTCACTGCTGGATTTGTCATGATTTTTGGTCCCTCAGGAGCCACTGCATTAAAACCAGGTCTGGTTCTGTTCTGGGTTCAGGAAGACTTCCATAGATCATTGTCTGTGAACACAGTTCATCCACAAATGCTGCTTAAAGCTCTATCAGACAAAGAAGAAGCCAGCTGTGAACACCATCCAGAACCACTGCTGTCTTCTCTGGACCAGAGTTCAATCAGCAACCTTCTCACTGAGAGGCTCCACCGACTGCACCACCCATGATTTACATTTATTATATTTAATTATGAACAAAATCTGTGCTTTTGAACATTTCACATCATTCATTCTTTTTTTTAATTTACATTTTTTACATCAGCCAACTTTTTGGGAACTCTTCAGCTGTACAAGTCCTTTCCAGGACTGCGGTAGCTTCGTGGGTAATCCTGGGGCTGCTGGTTCAAGCCCAGTTTGCATCATGAAGGGTGTCTGGAATAAAACGATAGCCAGCTCCTTCATGACGTGCCGTATCAACCCCTACAGAAGGGAGCAGGCGAAAAACTTACAGATCCTTTTACAGGTTGGTCAATATTGTACATGTTTATTTAAGTTACAACGGTTTTGTTATATTTTGATAAACCAAAGGTACGTTAGCCTAAATGGCTGTTGAATGTCGACTGTTGGCTGCAGTGGTTTTTAAATATCCGCACTAGTCTTTGAAAACTGTTGTTGGACCACGTCTACACTGGAGGGGCTCCATGAAGCTATAGTTGCTGCCTCTCAATGAGTTCGTTGTTCACGGGGTCTTCCTGGATCGTGCTGCAGATCATCCACTGCCTCACATAATTTGAGTTTTTGTGCTCGTGAAACGAGTCCGTGTGCTCTGCTCGGTTTGACTCCGAGGCTCCGGGGCTGCCGCACTCTCCATAACCGCTGTCGATGGTGTCCAAGTCCACACGAGGGTAGCCGTCCTCCGACTGCTCGTTGGACACAAACGAGTCCAGCGAGACCCTCTCTGCTTCATTAAATGCTCCGTCTGCCTCGTAGTCCAGGTTTTCCCTCAATGAGTCGTTGGCACTGTGAGCTTCAAGCTGTAGTGATGTCCCACTCTGTCTGTCCCTCCTGGACATGTGGACGCCCTCCAATCGACAGCTGCCATGTTCTCTGTCAGCATCTTCAAACGACCCAAAGCTTTCTCCCTCCTGGGAACTTCTGAGGGAGCTCTGGGATGTGACTTCCTCATCCAACTCCTCTCCTGACAACGTGACGGTGTGGATGGAGACGTGCCCGGTGGAGTGGGCGACACTCGGGGAGCTGCTGTCGTCCTGCAGCGGATGAAGGAAACTTTGGCCGTCCATCAGCTCATCCTCACTGAAACTCTGCTTCTCGTTTGTCCAGTGGAGGACGTTCTGCTTCTCGCTCGTCCTTTGCAGGCTTGTATCGATCATCAGGTCGTACTCTTTGAAAACAGGCTGCACCCACTCCTGAAGCACAGACAGAAGAAATTGACCTGGAAGGTTAGCGTGCTAGTTTATAACCAACCTTGACAGTTTCTGCAAATGTTTGATCAAACATTTTACTTTTGGAAGATTTTTATCTGCGTTTCACGCAGGAAACAACTGCACATTTATTTTCTTGCATTTAGAGTGAACGGCTCAGTGAAGTACCACCTTAAGGTTGAATCTAATGTAATATTAGTATCTGGAGCAATTTATTTAACTTGTGCAGTTTCATACTCCTCATTGAACACACTGATCCTCTGAGGAGCTTTATCTGGAGCTGCTGACCCATCACACGAGGGGGTCTCAGTCCAGACTGCTCTTATTTTTATAAGAGAGTAATGTGCTTCTGAACCCATTACAGACATAATTTACCTTCAGTTATCTCTTTTAAATTGTTATTTTCAGTAAACTCAACCTCTCACGCCACCCAGCATGACTTTGTACTTAATTTGTATCTTTGGCAGCACGATGGATTAGTGGTTAGCACTGCTGCCTCACAGCAAGAAGGTCCTGTGTTCAATCCCTGGTTGGACCTGGGGTCGTTCTATGTGGAGTTTGCATGTTCTTCTTGTGCTTGCGTGGGTTTTCTCCCACAAACTAAAAACATGCATGTTAGTCTGCCTTCAGGTCCAGGCCTCCCTTGCAAAATAGATCTGTGATCTCCGTGGGAGTCTGGTTAAATAAAGGTTAATAATTATCTGTTGCACCAAAGTCTCTAAATGTGCTAAAGCCTTAATGTTTAATAATGAAAATATCAACTTTAAAAAGTAAAGAAAGATGAAAATAGGAGTAGCAGCTCTCTTGTGACCCTGCATGGAAAAGCAGAAATGGACGGATGAGTCTTTGCTCATCTGATGCCTTCAGCTTGCTCTTAAAGCAGATCCCATGGGTGCCATGCTTCTGCAGCTAGCTTCAGCTGGAGATGACCAGATAAGGATGAAATAGTCTTGACGCCTGGGCCACCACATCCTGACTGAATCTTTAAAGTGAGAAACACGCCGTCAGTCTGCACCGTGTGGGGACGTGCAGGCAAATCTAGACTTCCGCCACTTCTGAAAGGAAACTTTCGTCACACTGAAAACCCACATAAACAAAAAAATAATAATTTCTTTGCACATGATGATGTCATCTATTCTGTTGTGTTGATATTTGACTAAATATTTATTATAATAAGATTTTTTCTTCTTTCTGCTGCCTTTCATTTTAAACGTTTTGTATCTTTTTTTTTTTTTTGTATTGTATTGTTATGGAATTCTTTTGTACTTTTTTTAAATGAATAAACTTTATACCGTACCAAAAAAAAAAAACTTGTTCACAAGATCCAACAATGTACAAACAGACAGACTGCGAGGTAAAAATGAAAGTTTTTATCCTTCAACACAGTCGGTCAGAAACACAGATTCAAGACATGATTTGAGTCGACTTCATATCTGAATTTGATCGCTGTGGACATCTGTGCTCGGAGGTCGTGCAAAACGGTTTTGTTAACTTAAAGAAGTTTCAAAATCAAGAAGAATGATGTTAAAGCCTCAACTGCAGATGGTTATTCATGCTTTTATTTTCTCACTTTCTACATGTCGGGGCAAAATAAAAGCTCATGGTCATTTTTAAACGACACAAATCACTGCAGCGAGGCTGCTAACTTAATTAAAAGATACTGTGTGAGTTTATGATGCTGAAGGAAAAAAGACAGATGAGGTTTGAGCTATTAATCAGCTTTTATATACAACACGTACTATATATATATTATATATATAATATTTTTTCGTATTTCTCTCCTAACTATTGTTTTGTTGTCACTATCTTTTGTTTATGTCTGCTGCAGCAGCGCCCTCTGCTGGACCACACGTGTGATTACAAGCATCTGTAACTACCTAATACAGTACATGCAAGCATGTTTCTAATTTTTCAAATAAGAATCAAACATAAAGAGGATAATGGCAACGAATGAAAGTAGACACATTTTTTTTAGTCTAACTAGACATTCACGATAAGTTAAGGAAACTGTTGTACTTCTTCAAGTTTAGGTAATATTGTAGTTTGGTTTACTCTGTAGTATTATTCTTATCAAACATGGGAATGCATTTGATTTAAGGTGCAGAGGAAACTTGTTGGTTGCCTTCACAGACATCATAAATATCTGCTCTCTCTCACACAGATGTTAAAAATAGTCACTTGAAAATAGTTAAATTACATCAGGTAGAAAATATCCAGGTGATGGAAGGTGAAGATAAATATGAAACATTAGTGAAATAATTAAAAACGGTACACCACAAACGTTTCACCGTGTTTCCTCGTCAGATAGAAAACAGACACTGTGTCAAATCAAAGAGCTGGAACAGACAGACTCGGGGGGTATTTTCCACCGGGGCAGAGCAGCTCTGACTTTTAGAGGCAAACATCTGCCCACAGCTGAAGCGTCATAAAGCCCTGCTCACTGAGTCACACCACAGAGTCCCTGCAGCTCCAAGTAAAGGGAAAGTCCCACAAAATCAGGGTCCAGGTGTGTCTTGGCAGCACGTGCTGGGCAGATCTGGAAACTACAAACAAAATGAAAACAGTTTTGCTTCCTCTTACCTTAAAGTTGCCTTCGTAGTTGTGGTAAAGAGGCTTGAAATATTCACTCGGCCGGGGGATGTACATAACCATCTTGAGTTTTTTCTGCCAACACCTGAACGAAAGTGAAGTAGAGAGATAAATGTTTCTCACTGAGCTAGTTAGCTGTTGCAAGGTGCTTTTGTTTTTTCTTACATTGGCTGTGCAGAGACCAAAGAAAGTTTTTACCCCCTAACTTATAAAGCTAACAAAACAAAAAGTCTTTCATGAGAATGAATCTATGAGTCAAAGTCGTTCTTTAGGGTTTGATAACTCAAACACTCAATCTAACAACGTCAGGTCATTTGGACGGTTTCTTCTTCTTCAGATGACCTGACTTCACCTTGTTAGATTTTTCTACCTGGATTAATGAGCATGCATCAGGTCAAACACCCAGTCTTTCACAACAACATGAACAAGAGTCAGTTTTAAAGAGCTGTAGAATGGATCTAAAATGCTTTGACTGCAATTTTCTGTTCATCTATTCTAAAAATGAATCAACCAAATAAAATGTGAAGAGAAGATTCTAAAACCTGAAATGCCTCTGCATGCATCGCTGTTGTGTTTTACTGGTTCCTCTGTCTATCTCCATCTCTATATATCTCTTTCTATATATGTCTGTCTGTCTGTCTGTCTGTCTGTCTGTCTGTCTCTCTCTCTCTCTCTCTCTCTCTCTCTCTATCTCTATCTCTTTGTCTATATCTATCTCTGTCTGCATCTACGGTATCTCGTCATATCTTTATGTCTGTCTGTCTATCTACAAACCGGATTCCAAAAAAGTTGGGACACTAAACAAATTGTGAATAAAAACTGAATGCAATGATGTGGAGGTGCCAACATCTAATATTTTATTCAGAATAGAACACAAATCACAGATCAAAAGTTTAAACTGAGAGAATTTATCATTTTAAGGGAAAAATCTGTTGTTTCCAAATTTGATGGCGTCAACAAACCCCAACAAAGTTGGGACAAGTCCATTTTTCCCACTGTGTGGCACCCCCCCTTCTTCCAACACTCAACAGACGTCTGGGGACAGAGGAGTCCAGTTTCTCAAGTTTAGAAATAGGAATGCTCTCCCATTCATGTCTAATACAGGCCTCTAACTGTTCAATCGTCTTGGGCCTTCTTTGTCGCACCTTCCTCTTTATGATGCGCCAAATGTTCTCTGTAGATGAAAGATCTGGACTGCAGGCTGGCCATTTCAGTACCCGGATCCTTCTCCTACATAGCCATGATGTTGTGATTGCTGCAGAATGTGGTCTGGCATTATTGTGTTGAAAAATGCAGGGTCTTCCCTGAAAGAGATGACGTCTAGATGGGAGCACATGTTGTTCTAGAACCTGAACATAGTTCTCTGCATTAATGGTGCCTTTCCAGACATGCAAGCTGCCCATGCCACAAGCGCTCATGCAACCCCATACCATCAGTGATGCAGGCTTCTGAACGGAGCGTTGATAACAACTTGGGCTATCCTTGTCCTCTCTGGTCCGGATGACACGGCGTCCCAGTGTTCCATAAAGAACTTCAAATCATGACTCATCTGACCACAGAACAGTCTTCCATTTTGCCACACTCCATTTTAAATGACCCCTGGCCCAGTGCAAACGTCTGAGCTTGTGGAGCTTGCTTAGAAATGGCTTCCTCTTTGCACTGTAGAGTTTCAGCTGGCAACAGCGGATGGCACGGTGGATTGTGTTCTCTGACAATGCTTTCTGGAAGTATTCCTGAGCCCATTCTGTTATTTCCTTGACAGTAGCATTCCTGTTTGAGGTGCAGTGACGTTTAAGGGACCGGAGATCACGAGCATCCAGTAGAGTTTTACGACCTTGACCCTTACGCACAGCGATTGTTCCAGATTCTCTGAATCTTTTGATGATATTATGCACGGTTGATGATGATAACTTAAAAGTCTTTGCTATTTTACGCTGGGTAACACCATTCTGGTATTGCTGCACTATCTTTCTGCGCAACAATGGTGGAATTGGTGATCCTCTTACCATCTTGGCTTCTGAGAGACACTGACACTCTGAGAAGCTCTTTTTATACCCAATCATGTTGTCAATTGACCTAATTAATGTTAATTGGTCTTCCAGCTGTTCGTTATATGCCCAATTTCCTTTTTCCAGCCACTTATTGCTACTTGTCCCAACTTTTTTGGGGATTTGTTGACACTGTGAAATTTTGAATCAACATATTTTCCCTTTAAAATGTTACATTTACTCAGATTAAACTTTTGATCTGTCATCTATGTTATATTACAAATAAAATATTGACATTTGCCATCTCCACTTCATTGCATTCAGTTTTTATTCACAATTTGTTTAGTGTCCCAACTTTTTTGGAATCCGGTTTGTAAATATATATCTATCTCTCTATATCTATCACTTATCTCTTTATATCAATCTCTCTCTATATCTCTATCTCTGTTTCTCTATATCTATCTGTCTTTATTTAAGGGTATCTCTTCATATCGCTATATCTCTGTCTATCTCTCTATATATCTATCTCTCTATATCTATCTCTCTATATCTATCTCTTATTTCTTTATATCTATCTCTGTCTCTCTATATCTCTAGCTCTCTATATCTATATCTCTATCTCTATATCTCTGTCTATCTCTCTCTATATACTGCATATATCTGTGTCTCCACATCTCTGTCTATGTCTATATCTCCTATATCTCTAGCTGTCTATCTCTGTATATCTATCTATATGTCTGTCTGTCTGTCTCTCTTTATCTCTATTTCCATCTCTCTATATCTCTATATCTATCTCTTGTAATTTCTTGTGTTGGTTTCTCCATCCATCCATCCATCCATCCATCCATCCATCCATCCATCCATCC